TTTTAAAGAAAACTTGGCTTTCTAGACTCTTTCTTGAGGTCCTTATAAACTTTGTTGCAAATAAAAAGAATTGCTTTTTACTAAAGATCTTGTCTTGTCTGTTTACTTTACTGGCGAGTTGAACCGTTGGCGAGTTGACTGGATACCCAGTGATGGAGTGGGTCAAAAGAAAAGAAATATATATGGAAATGAAATGATAAAAAAAAAAAATATAACATTTCAAAAATTGGATTCTATACATTGACATCCCTTGAGATTTTTAAGTCAAAAAGTGAAGATAAAAAACTCTACAAACTTGTAAACGTTACAAAAACTTATAAATGCATGGTTGGAAAAAGCATGGTAACTTTTTTCAAAGGAAGAATAATATGCTTTACTGGTATACACTAAAACAGTGTATAATATTGAAGGTACACTCTGATTGGCTACTTAAACTCTGAACAGCCTTTCCTAATCATCTCTGAGCAACTTGTGCAGAATTTGTACCTAAAAATATCTTAATAGTTACTGAAATAAATGAGTTACAATCATATTTTTGAGCGATATTATTTAACTGTTTTAGTACATACTGAAACAACTATTCACCTCAATGCTGGTGTCTAGAGGTGGATATTTACCTTGCCACTTTATGACCACTTTCCTCCAACAGTGAAATGAATAGTTGTTAACTATCCAGGAAAACAGAGGTCATACTTGACCTCATGCATTGTCCTAGTATACACTCAAATGTCCTTTTCCTTCTGTCTTTCTTATCTTTCATTTTTTCTTTTTTCTTTAATATGGGTTTACTGACACTATGTTACCAACTGAAGATATGCCTTTGGATACAAATACTTGAAACAATAAACCTGATGGGTTCAATTTCATTTATTATAAAAACTTAGCATTTCACACAAGTTAAAATTGCATAATGCCAAACTCAAGGGACCAGAGTAATCGAAGGATCCAACGAGTGAGTTTCTGCTTCATACTAATAATAATAAAACAGGAAAAAATATAAAATAAGTTGCAGAAAAAAAATGGAGAGGAACATACCCAAAATAATGACAGATGTTGTACCATCACCAACTTCTTCATCTTGAGTTCTACTAATCTCAATCATTGACTTGGCAGCTGGGTGCTGTACTTGAATCTTGAGAGTAGATCAAATTGGTTAACTGGTAATATGGTTAACTGGTTATGAAGCATTTCACATTGTTCACTTACAATGCTAAGCTTTTCTTTTTAGTGAAATGTACATTTAAAATGCTTGTAAATATGAAAAGCTCTGTTTTAAAAGACATGTGCACTTGTTTGCATCTTGAAAGCTGTGTAACCTATGATAAGAAATGGTACAATCTTTGAATTACAGTCGAGTTGCCAACAGTTCAACTCGCCAACCTATAGAATTGAGTAGAAACATCAGTGAGTCGGTCTTCAATCCAGTACAACTTATTAGAAGTTAAACACATAGAAAAGTAAAAGATCTTTGGGAAAAACGCAATTTTTTTCTTCCAACAAAGTTTATAAGGATCTCATGGCGAATAAAGCCAGGTAAACATCACCAATGACTAAGAAAGCTTCAGATGTGAATGAGATATTATTGTGTGACAATGACACTGTAAATCTCAAATCATTGTAAAGCTCTCATCATGTCAATTGATCAGATTTTTTTAAGAAACTTGGCTTTCTGGACAAGATATTCAGTAAAAAAAAACAATTGTTTTTATTTCCAACAAAGTTTATAAAGATCTCAAGGCGAATAAAGCAAGGTGAACATTGCCAATAACCAAAAAAGTTTTAGATGTGAACGAGATATTATTGTGTGACAACAACACTGTAAAGACTCATCAAGTCAATCGGTCAGACTTGGCTTTGTAGACAAGATCTTTGGTAAAAAACAATTCTTTTTATTTCCAACAAAGTTTGTAAGGATGTCAAGGCGAATAAAGAAAGGTGAA